GTCCTTAATTTCTGACCAGGGAGCAATCCTGTAATGAGCAATCAGAAATGGCATCGTTAAAGTTAGGGATGTAAAAGATGAGATGGTTCCAGCGCGCATCTTACTGCTACGGGAGATCCCCTAAGTCTCTGAAGAGGAACCGTGAAGGCTGGTTGATGTTCTATGAGGTGGGGTTCCTGTTAAATTTCTCCTTTTGGGCGGAGTAAAGACCATATGGGAACTGGAAGAGAGGTCATTTCAGTCCCTTGCTTGGTGATTTTATGTGACACGGGTTGTAAAATTTGTGATATTGCTGTGTACAAGGAGAAGAAATAGTGTGAATGCTCCTCTTCTGTCCCTTCTAATATCTATATGAGGAGTGAGGCAGGCACAGGGCTAGCAGGGGGTCATCTTTGGGGGGGCCTTGGACATGCAGCATCTGATGCAAAGATTTTACTGCTGGTAAAGTACAGACGCTGGCAGAAGTTGTCACCATCCAGATAAAACCCTTTTTTTAAATTATTTTTTTTCCCCTTTATTCTATCAGCAGCTACATATAGCATCTCCCCATTGCTAGAATAAATCTGATAAAAAAATGTAGTTGTAAGCAGCAACGATTTTATCCTACAGAAAAGATTTTTATCCAACAGGAAAAATGCTGTGCCTGGGCATAATTTTTCAGATATGATGAATAACAGCATAGTATGACCCTCAGTCCTAAGAATTTAGTTTTAAAAGAACTACTGAGCGTATCAGATATAGTCAACTTCTTCTTTCCTATCTTTTTTTCACAGGCAGAGTTTGGTTTATAGATACATCTTGACAAGAAAAATCTGCCACGGGCAAATTTCAACTGAAGAGCAACTTCAAACACATCCAATTAACAATTTATGAAAGGAAATCCGAGAGAAAATTACGCAGAGATTCACAGGGTATAAAAATTTGGCGCTAAATTGGCACTAATTGGCACTAAATTGGCACTATTGGCACTAAAATTTTGCACTAATTTGGGATGAGGTTGCCCAGGCTCGACGAGGCCCTGTGGGGAGGCCAGACTAGATGACCTTTGGAGGTCCCTTCTGGCCTGGACGATTCTATGATTCTAAATCAAATTTAATGTGGAGAGGCCTGTACAGGGAGTTATGGCCCCTTACAGTGCATTGTCAAAAGGAGCTTTATCTGTGGAGGCTCCACGAGTGCCCTCCATCGTATCTTTTCCTCCTAGAAGTAAAATATTTTGTCAGACAAGGCAATGAGCACAGCATAAAAGGGACCAAAACCCACCAAACTCTACGCGGTTTTCAATCAGGAGTATGAAAAGTCATTAGATTTCTTCACACTTTCGAACCCGGGATTTGTTGACTTTATCACAGGAATGAGGGGCACTGTGCTATCGACCAACACAAAATCACTTTTAGAATTATAGAATCATAGAATGGTTTGGGTTGGAAGGGACCTCAAAGATCATCGAGTTCCAACCCCCCTGCCCTGGGCAGGGACACCTCCCACTAGAGCAGGTTGCTCAAGGCCCCATCCAGCCTGGCCTTGAACCCCTCCAGGGATGGGGCATCCACAACTTCCCTGGGCAACCTGTTCCAGTGTCTCACCACCCTCACAGGAAAGAATTTCTTCCTGAGATCTAATCTGAATCTTTTTTCTTCCAATTTAAAACCGTTTCCCCTTGTCCTATCATTACCCTTCCTGGCAAAGAGTCCTTCTCCAGCTCTTCTATAGGCTCCCTTCAGGTATTGAAAGGCTGATATAAGGTCTCCCCGGAGCCTTCTCTTCTCCAGGCTGAACAACCCCAGCTCTCTCAGCCTGTCCTCATAGAAGAGGTGCTCCATCCCTCTGATCATCTTCGTGGCCCTCCGCTGCACCTGTTCCAGCTGGTCCATGTCCTTTCTGTGCTGAGGACTCCAAAGCTCGACACAGAGCTCCAGGTGGGGTCTCATGAGTGCAGAGTAGAGGGGTAGAATCACCTCCCGAGACCTTCTGGCCACACTTCTCCTGATGCAGCCCAGGACACGGTTGGCTCTCTGGGTTGCCACCACGCACTGCCAGCTCATGTTGAGCTTCTCATCCATAAGCACTCCCAAGTCCTTCTCCTCAGGGCTGCTCTCCAGCCATTCTCCACCCAACCTGGATTTGTCCCTGGGGTTGCCACGTCCCAGGTGCAGGACCCTGCACTTGGCTTGGTTGAACCTCATGCAATTTGCACGTTAGCTTTTGATTGGTTAGCACAGCCAGTCACCATACATACCCCACCAGCAGGTTGCGGTGAGTGTATTTAAATTTACGATGGAGCCAGTTTTATGTCTAGAGTGGAAATTTCAGCCCCCTCTGTGTCCCGTTGTTTCCTGATTTACTCCCTCATTCAGCAGCCGTGGTCGGGTTTTCTCACAAGATGTTAAGGAGACAAACTCACATAATTGCCTTCAGCAGCTCTGAAATTAACTTAAGCCACTACTTTGTCTAGAGGAAAAACATCTGTGTCTGGACCATTATCTATTTAAACACATGAATAGCCAGCTTTTGTAGGAGATGACTGAGCAGCATCACTTGCATTGCATTGTTTGGATTATATGAGGGGGGAGTGGGGGCGTGTTAATTACAGATACCAGGACCAACAAGTGGGGATGACTAATCGAGTCGACCCCAGCCAAGATCAAGCGTATTTGTGATACAACTGGGGTGTTACGTGGATTAATATAACTGGAAGAGTTGGTGTTGCTGGCTCTGCTGCTCATCCTGTGCTCCCACATGAGAACGGGACAGGAAACTTTTGATAACTTGTCAATCTGTTCTCTTCCACTGAAATTCACGTCTGCACAGGAAAGCATGGCTTTAAGTGTCTGTTCCTGTTCATTTAGGTCATAGAATTATAGAATTATAGAATTGTCAGGGTTGGAAGGGACCTTTCAGATCATCTAGTCCAACCATCGACCTAACACTGACAAAAACCATCACTAAACCGTATCGCTAAACAGATTCCTTGCTGTGACCAGAGTATGCAAAAATGAAATAGTTATTTTCCTGCATCTTTAGAGGGCAAACACTTGGGTTCTTCCAGCTTTCTTGGTGTTGTGCAGGGTAACTGCTTCTGCATGTCCTAGTTAGTCCACTGGTGGAGATGAGATGACACCTCTGTCACTATAAATGAGGCATTAGAATACCCCAAGGGTGTTTCTTTTTTTTTCTTGAGTCCATTAATATGTTCTTTTGGCAGTGAAATACTCTACCAGATAAGTTAGTGTCCAAGGCACGTAATAATTAGTGAATAAAACACCCCCAGAGTATCTTAATCCTATTAAAATGTGTCTTTTAAACTGTAAATGAATTTTTAACCTAATTTTAAATGATTATTTCCTTCCTGTAACACACCCCTTCTCCGTAGACAACAGATCCCGGGGAAACAGAAGGTGAAACAGACAGACATTAATGTCAAAGATTTTAATCTTCTGTTTATATTTTTGAAAGGTACTCGGCTGTTTACTGCCTGGTTTTCTGTATGACTCTACTTCTTCCAGCACCCCACTTCCTTCATCACATTGTATATTTTTTCTTTGTCTGCAACTAATGGCAATAATAATAATAATGAATGAATTTTCTAAGGCAATGTCTAGATTTAGGCAACTGCAAAAATTCTTTAGTTTCTGAATGCAGAAGTGATACACTTTTTAAAGAACTAAAGAAGAGTTAAAAGGCTAAATAAGGGTTTCCACATGCCTGATATTCTTCAAAATCCAGCCAGCTGCAGTGCCTAGATGCGAATGCAAGAGTTCAATATTACCCGTTTTCTCTATGCCACCTTCTCAGATCTCCAAGGCAGATCTCTAAGCAAACAAGCAAGAAATAAAACACACTATAAGTGATTTTTTTTTTTTTTTTTTCCCTTGCCCCCTTCCCCCCTTCCCACGTGCTTGGTTCAGCTTCTCTTTCCTGCTGTGGGGATTTGGCGTTGTTTCTTCTGCAGCTTCCACTCGAGTTCTCCCAGTTCTTCTGGTTCTCCAGCCCTCCTGTGCCCTCCCAACAAGCCACCCGATGGCCTTCCTTCCTATTTCCTCTGTGGGAATTCAGGGTATTTAACATCTTTAAAAACTTAGCCACAGCAAGAAAGCAAAGGTCTTTATTTCTCAGGCACAACCTGCTGAAAATCCCTGGTGTTTGTGCCTCAGATAAGTCCAGATTGAGAGAACTGAACATCCTCCTGAATTCTTGTGCTTGTTTTCTCCTGTAGCTTTCAGGGACTTTGGGAACGTTAAGGTCAAGAATGTGCTGTAGCAACTGACATTTTTTTTCTCTTCACTTCAGAGCATCGGAAGCAGTTGGGTTGCTTTTTTGTTGTAACTTTTGATTAGGAGTCAGAGCTCAGATCAAGGCCAGTTTAAAGGACCATGTGCATTGTTTGAAGTGAAAGACTCGTGCAGTTGTAGGATTGGAGTCTTCAGCGGTGCCTATTAGTTTAGGACTCGAGCTCAGGGTCCCAATTCTCCATACTAACCCTGAGGCTCAAAGAGATGACTATGCAGTCACATTACTATAATGATTTTCCCCTTTTTGTAGCTGTATTTAGCTGTATTTTCCTTTTTTTAGCTGTATCTCATACATAGACAAGATAACATCCTTTGCTATGCTGAATGTTGCAAGTTGGATCATAAAGTCTTCAAGGCAAACACACAGGCTTTCTGTCTGCCTGAGAAAGTATCTGATTCCTAAAGAATTTGCAGGAAAATCAACAAAGGGAAATGTGATTCATGTAAATGGTTTGTTGTGTCAGAGCTACTGGAAAATTGAAGCTGGTTGCTGGGGCTCAAATTTAGCTCAGGAGATCTGGCTTCAGGTCCTAATGCTTCCTTGAAGACTCTGTGTGTTTCTTCTTATGAAATTTTGCTTTTCTTCACCTTTTTGCCATGGTTTATATAGGATCTATTATATTGCTATTTTATTTTCCCTTAAGAAGGCTGTGTTAAACTGAACAATATTTACACCTCCTTTGCTTTCTTTCCATTCTCCCATCTCAGCAGAGCCCTAGGACTCCCTTCTCGGACCTACCTGATGATGAGAAGATCTTTAACGGGGGAGATGGCACGTGGCAGAGCCAGAGCCAGGATCAAGCCTTGCTCTCAGAAATCACAGAAGAGGACCTGGAGGCCATCCGTCAGAGGGAGGAGGCCATTCAGCAGATCGAGGTCAGTAACCTCCCATCATGGAAGGGCAGATCCCTTGTGTGCACCTGCTCAACATGGGAGACACTATCAGATGGTCCTGAAAATGGAAATCAGTGTCGTGGAGAATTAGGAATCCACACGATCTGTAATGAAAATGACAAGAATTAATTAATATTCAAGGATTAATGTTTCTCAGGGTTTTTTTCTCAGTGTGTCTTCCATAACCGAGTTCGCGGTGAGGTAGTTTAATTGAGCTTCTTCCTGCAGCAAAACAACTTTCTTTGTGCATTGCAGACTTGAAAATGGAATTTGTCACAGGCAGAAAATATTCAGCTTTACCATTAGAGAGAATAATAGGTAGACAAAAGGAAATAACTTGTTAACTTTTTCAAATAATTCAATATTTTTCCTTTATTAAAGTATTTGGATGTTCGTAATATAGTTAAAAGAAGTCACACTATTTTTATTCCCCTTTTTTTAATAAATGCTATAAATAAAATATGAAAAAAGGGAACAAGAGGTCTGAATGAGTTGAACATCCCACATTTTTTTCTTTTTATACTTACCTTTTTATGCTTTTGGGAAACTCTTGCTACTCAAATTTAAGCAATAAATGAGTAAACGCAGAGCATTTTAAATCTTTCTAATTTGTATGCTTTTACAGACCTAAACTCAAGATGAACCAAAAAAAAAAAAACACAACAGCAACTTCAGAATAATCAGAAAACATTTAATTAAGGACTATACTTTGTCCCTTAATTGGATTGAGCTAATTTTATCAGAATAGATTTAGGTTGCGGTGTAGCAGGGATTGTGATTGAGTTAACAGTACAAAAAGGGGACAAACGTTCCTGCTTGTGGGCTGGTGCTTTGAGGCGTTGACCTCTGTGTGCAAACAGCAATAGCTACAGATGATTCCACACTCTAAGTAAGAAATTTTGATAGTTTTATAGGAGTGGGTCAAGGTTAGTGTCTGTCTAATTTCTGTTGTGGTTTGCTGAATAGAGATGATTGAGCTTCGCTGACTTGTGTGCGTTACTAGGGATGGAATTGTTAAAGGATATTCTCACTCTGAGCACCCTTGGGCATGAATTGGCCTTTCATATTTGAGGAATCTCTTTGCATCCACCAGGTCAAACTCTAGGGAAATTTGTTGCATGTTTTGGGGTGTTCCTACACTTTGATGTTCAAGGAAGGCGGATGCAAAGGTATTGCTGGAACGCCGTTGTGGACACAAATGATATTGCTGTGATCCTTTTGTTTGAAATATAGTCACTGCCTTTTTCTTTCTGTCTTTATATTTCCCTCCATCCTCACCAGAAAAAAACCCAAACTTTAAGTGTTTGCTCATTAGGCAGTGATGAATAACAAACCCCCAAGCCAGCCTCAAGCTAAATATATATATATATATATATATATAAAAATATATATATATTTATAATTATAACTGTAAAGTGCCTATCGTCATGTTGATAAACATTCTTTGGAACCTCTCTGACGACTTTGAAAAATCAAGAGCTATGGCCATGTCTGCTTAGAGAGATCCTTATTTTGCTGGTTAAATTTAATTTCTGTGCCACAAGCTGACAGCTCTATATGGGGCCACACTGGGCCCTGTGGACCTCTCAGGGTGTTAAGGGAATCCAGTCCGAGCCCTGAATAACTTCTAAATTAATGCAACACTCATGTATTTTGCAGGTTTCATATCTATTGATTTGGTAGATCCTGTGTACCTTTCTGCCTCGTATGAATTTACCTCTGAATAATTTATTCAGCTTATGCAGTTAGTGTTGTTCAGCCTCATGCTTCCTAAGAAGGTGTGTAGTTTCTTTTTACCTGTTTTTTAACCCATCTCCAACATAGAATCATGGAATCAGTCATAGAATCATAGAATAGTTTGGGTTGGAAGGGACCTTTAGAGGTCATCTGGTCCAACCTCCCATGCAATGAATAGGGACATCTTCAACTAGATCAGGTCCAGCCTTACTTTGAACACCTTCAGGGTGGGACATCTACCACCTCTCTGGGAAACCTGGGCCAGTGTCTCACCACCCTCATTGTAAAAAATTTCTTCTAATATCTAGTCTGAACCCACCCTCCTTTAATTTAAAGCCATCACCCCTTGTCCTATCACTATAAGAACTATTAGAAAGTCTTTCCACATCTTTCATATAAGCCCCCTGTAAGTACTGAAAGGCTGTAATAAGGTCTCCCCAGAGCCTTCTCTTCTCCAGGCTGAGCAACCCCAACTCTCTCAACCTGTCCTCACAGCAGAGGGGCTCCAGTCCTCTGATCATCTTTGTGGCCTCCTCTGGACCCACTCCAACAGGTCCATGTCCTTCTTATGTTGGAGTCCCCAGAGCTGGACACAGCACTGCAGGTGGGGTCTCACCAGAGCAGAGTAGAGGGGCAGAATCACCTCCCTTGACCTGCTGGCTACTGTCATAAGTACATCCATTTTGCTTTGCTGTCCAAGATCCATGTTCATCCCGTAATGCATTCCTCAAGCATGATGTCAAATGTAGCTTAAACACTTCTCCTCAGGAGGAAAACATTTTGGGTCAATAGTATTTTATTTAACACCTATTTTGAAAGAAATATAATGAAAATGAAATGGATTTTTGGACTGTGTCATACTTCCCCCCAGCTGTGTTTGAATAAGCAGATGGTGCTTCTAAATAATTTTCACCGAGTTTTGTTTTTTCCTGTTTGTTGGCCCACATGAACTTATTTCTTGTGAAAGGACTCGTCTTGCAGATTAAAACTTCCCTGATTTCATTAGAAGTTGTGGGTATACAGAGAAGGGACTCACTGAGCTCATAGTCACCCTTACAGCTTTTTTCCAATATGTTTTCAAAACCAGTAAGAAGGTTAAAAGGAAACATTATTCCTGACTGTCAGGCACAGCTAATAAACTAAATTTATTGCCAAATTGATGTATAGCACTTGTTCTCTCTTACTCTTTGGGGACCAGAATGAAGAACAAAGCCGTGCAAAACATCTCTTATGCAAGTAGATTGGTCTTTCTGGGATTTTTACTTTTCCTCATTACTAGTACCAGAAACATATATACCTTAAGCAAGTACAGAAGAGGTCACAGAGCACTGCTAGGACATCATATCTTCTGGGCCACACTGATGAGCACACAAGTTTAGAGATGCTCATGGTGCTGGTACCATTAATGGACTTTTTCTTTTTTTTTAAAGAGACATTGAATTTGGCCTTTTGGAAAGAACAGATATAAACCCTTTTTCATTGCTAAAGAAATGAGGAAATAAATTCTCTTCCCCTCTTGTGTCCTGAAAAACAGATATAAAATTGTGCTTATAATAGACATCTTCTTAATGTTCCAGTGACTCTTCCCCACTTGGTTGTTTTCCACATCTCCAGAATCTCTTCAGAGGTTCAGGTTAATGGGACATTGTTCTCTGTCATGGGTGTCCCTTGAGGCACTTTTCAGTGTTCACAGTTTCCACCTAGAAAGATAACAGCCATGTCAAAAGTTCAGGTGGCTGTTCATTTTATTTAAATGTGCGTCCTTTGCTATTGCTTGCAGATTAAAAATAGAGAAGTCTGCAAGGGAGATGATGTCTCGCCAAAACCTTACATTTTGGATAAAGATCTTTATTGCTTGGAAATGTCAAAATCTGGTAGGACACCGCAGCCTTGACACAAGTGTTATTTCTTAAAATATTGCTTTGAACTGTTACATAAAACCTATTTTAACTTGAACTGTATTGGCAGTGAATAATAGATGCCATAACAACTTTATATATAGCACTGTAAAATGTGCCATCAGAAATACATGAGCTGAACTGTAATGTGCATTGTCAGTGCTCAGTGCTGGCACAAGCTCTGTCATAGCAAATATATATAATTTAGCATCCCGTGCCTTTCATTGGCACCTGTGGTCATGTGAAAAACAGTAGGAGATAAAACTTGGAGAACAAACGGCTAACCTTTGAATGGGGAACTTCAGAATTTAATCTGGTGACTGGAAGGACCTATAAAAAAGAGATGCTAAATGCCATATTGATTCAGAAAGTCTCCAGTGATCCTCTCCATGCAGACAGCTTCTCCAGAAGTGATGAGGAAGGAAGATGAGACAAACCCTTCCCAGACCTCACCACTGTTTCCTTGGAGTCATCACCAGGTCATCCCATCTCCTCTGCAACCCTCATTCCTTTCTTACTATAGTCTCCCATCCCACTCCCAGGATGCTAACACAGCAGTGAGAATTCTTCTGCCATGAACAGTGGAAGAGACAGAATTAAGGGAAAGGGAAGATTTGGAGAGCAGGGCTTGCTCCTGGTATTGGGAACGGTTGTCCCTGAAATAGCAAGGGACACTTCACCTATCCCAACCTCCCTACACCATTTTTTCCCCCCACTTCCACAGGAGGAGCAACAGCAATAAGAGCTCAGTTCATGGAGATGGGCAGCTGCCCATGTTGTTTAGCCACCAAACCTGGCTTAATCGGGACTAACCATATCATCTCTCAGCCCTGAAAACCAGCAGATACCCAGATTTACACAGATAATTGCAGATACCAACTTCAGAGCCAGGAAGTCAGTCATTCAGACCAGAGGAATACAAGGAACATTGCAAACTGGAGACCATCCCTTGTAGATACCTGTGCAGCCATGGAGAGCCCCCCAGTGGAAGGGTGCTAGGAAAGCATTTGGGAAAATTAGTTCAACTGTTAACTCTGCCATGAACTCCTTCTGTGCCCTGGGCACTGATCACACTGGTCTTAAGCCACTTACCTACACAACGAGGCCAAAAACATCATCCTACATCTTGGGATGAGGGAGAATAAGTCGTTTAACAAGTTCCTTCCTCATTTTGGCCAGAAGACACAGTAAATAACAAGAAGGATCCTCCCCTGCTCTGGGAAATACCTCCCCTGGACTATTTCCACAGGTTTGCATTTCTTTTTGCATTTAAACATGGAACCCAGACGTTAACTTGGCCAATGTGAGAAGGTGGACAGTTTTCCCCAGTAGTATGTGGTCACCGGA